TGACTAGTATGCAAGGCCACCACTCACCTATTCTTCTTTTTGAAACACTTTCGCTAAGAAATCACAAAATTCTGAAAAATGCCTGCTTAGGTTTTGCACATCTGTTATATATTCCAATTCAGTCCCCTACGTTAGCCAAACTGAGACAGCAGTGTGAAAATAATGATTTTCCAGGATTGTACAATGTGCCATTAATATGCATCCAACTCACCTCTTCCCTGAGGTTTGCTGTTCTAACTCTACCTGCACGTGTCTATACCCAGTTGCATTTTCCAACCCATGGGCAGCTCCACAATTAAATGCCACATACACCAGGAGGAAGGTGTGCAAAATAGATTTCAGATCCTTTAAAAGTAAAAGGCACAACTTGCAACAAAACTAGGAATGGGGTGATTTGAGAAATTACAGCACTGTTTTTTTTTAAGCCTTCACAGAATAAACACGGAGAATGGGAGGGAAACATCCCCCCTGCTCCTGTTCTTGAAGTGAATACATATTTGTGTTTCCAATAAAAGGCCATTTTTACATTAACTGTCTGTAACAGCAGGAGACAGAAAAACTAACACAATCTCCACATCACACACAGGACGATCTTCATATCACGTGGCCCTGTTCTCAAAACTAGTATTTATAAAAGACAACTAGGAAAACACACAATGCATCTTTTCTGTGTCACCAAAAGGGTAACGTCACAAGAACTTTGGGATCTTTGGGATCTTCCACATTTTAGATTGTTTTTTCTTTTTGGCTTGCCCAAGTAAATTTAGCAACCATGCGGGCCACTGTGTTTAATTAAGCTTTCAAAAGTCCTCTGACAATGCCAACAATTGTAAGACACTTCTGCGGCTCAATCATGCAATCGCTGTGACAGTTCTATTTACAATTTGTCTTAGAAAGAGTTTCTCTGACATTGTACTTTGACAAAACATCCAAGCTGCCAGTTCACAACCTTTCTCTGTCTTATTTACAAATACATCTTGTATATAGGACTCCCAGTCTCATGAACATGAGGCTTTGGGTAATGGCCTCGCAAACATGGGCTCCCAGTGAAAATCCTAGGTATTTATTAAGAAACAATATTCTTTATTCTCTGGGTGTGAAGGTTAAATAAAATGTTCACCAGTATACTGGGGATTTTTTTGTTTGCTTGTCATTTTTTGTAGCTGTCACACTAAAAATTCACTTCAGAAGTCAGTGATTTTTATTCAGAATCACACAAATAAAGAGAAATGAAAAATAGGTTATAATAGGATACTATAATTTATAGCCTTCTTTACAATTATATCATAAAGTACATCCTCCAATTCAGTCTGAGATAGGAAAGAATTCAAATGGGTACAAAAAGAAAAGGCAAGTTGAGTTTTTAAATTCTAAAAAGCATGAGTATGTTATTATACTTGATTTACCTTTAAGTAACATGCTTGTATATTTCTGGATTAAATTGGTACTTTTTCTTCCACAGAGCTTCTGCCTTACATATTATTACCTAGGTATGAGGTGTATTTTCTAGGCAAATAATTTTTAAATACCCTGATATCAATGCCTACATTCTTGATTTTAAAGAGAAAAAATGTTAGACAGCAACAGACTGCTTGACAGTTCACAGGACTCATCATATTTTCTGCCACTCTCTCAAAAAGCTAACTTTTTGACAGTTCAATCCTAATTTAAAGATTTCTATGTGCAATAAGCCAAAACCTCAAAGCTGACACTGTGGGATAATATTTTTTGGCCTTTTCTATAAGTGAACAGCAGTTCCACAGTCACTAATCTTCAATGAATACTTGCCCCCCTCATAGAACATGAGACTAGGAAACAAAACAAAACCCCAATTAAAAGCCCTAACTGCCAGTCAAAGACTGCTGATATCCAATTGTGGATATTTGACACAGGCACTGAAGAACTGGGCCCTGCAGATTACAACCTACTGGTTTCCAGTTAAATTAACAAGACTTCAGGGGTCTCAGTGGATCGTAATCCCACAATATTTTGAATATTTGAATAAAATGAAAAAAAACAACCCGAACAACATGTATGTGTACATTCAACCTGGTAAGAATCATCCTCACTAAAAAATACTCAGCTTTGAGAGGCCTATGTACAGCCAAACGCATGGCATCTTACTGAAGATTTAAAGAACTCCACTCAGCCTCCTGTGTGAAAGCCCAAATTCTAAGCTTTATTTATCTCAGGAAGAAGATCTGTCGCTGTTTGATTCCAGCTTCCTGCCTATAAGACGGCAGAGAACACACAGTAAGCTCATATCCAACTTACACCACTTTAATAAACCCTTTCCTGCACAGCACATTTAAATAACTACCTTTTATACAGTTGCCAAATATATTCTTCTAGAGATTCATCAATATATCTCTTTCCTAATACAGAGCACTGCTTCTCTTTTTTGTGTGTGACACAATTCAAATATCTACTGAATGATTACTCTTATTGTTTCCTTCCTCACCATAAAAAGAAAAGCAGACTTGGAACCGTGAAGATGTGCTTGAGAGAAATGGGCTGCGAGTACACAGCCGTCTTCCAGAACTTCACTTCAGAGGCACCTGAGAGCCAGGGCATCTTAATTTACGTGCAATGGCAGAATGTTAATTTCACCATAGGAAACTCTTAATTCATTACCGTGAATTATGAGAAGTCGTGATTCTAGTTACTGACATCTCGCCTTGAGATGTGACCACGCTATTTATGTTCAGCCAATTCCAGGGTGGGAACAGGTGATTAAACACAATGAAAGGAATCAAGACTTTGTAATTATTTGTGCATGAAAGGTTTACCTCACCTGGGTCGCAGCACTGGTGCACCCATTGAATATCTTAGATGCCTTAGGTAGCTTTTCATCTCAGCGAAATTGCTTAGCATTAGCCCTATAAAACATATCTTAAATGTGCTTTTTTGTGTGGAGGGGGTCCTTCTTTGAGCTCTCTTACAGTACTACTCCTTTAAAAAAAAAAAAAAGAAGAATCTTTATGACAATCAGAGAGTTCAGGAAAATCTCTTCTTTCCCTATGTAGATTTACAACTGTGACAGTGGAAAGCCTTCACTATAGGGCCTCCCCCCCACCAGCTTTTAGATTTCTCCTCTAAGTACAGAGGCACAGAATTTTCAAGCTGGTTAATCGGAGACTGAATAACCTACTTGGGACCTCAGTAAGAAGTGTGGTTTTAATTCTTGCTTGACAGACACTGTGTTTTGTCTTTTTAAACGAGCGGCTCGATATGTAAATACGATGTTACATCACGCAAGTGTTACTCCATATTTGGCGATTTAGAAAGGCTTTGGATCTCCGAAGACCAAATCTCCTTCCGCTTGCTCTAGCTTCATTAATCATGCCTTACACTTCTGTTCATTTTCCTTCCAGTCACAAGACAGCACATGGAAATGGTCACCACCATATCCTACTGGGGGGCTGGGGGGACAGATCAAATTGTAACCTGCATGGCATATAAGCTACATGGGATGGATTCAAGAAAACAGTTTGTAAACGCAGCTTCCCTGGCAGCAGCTTTCTCGTTTTACTAAAGGTAAAGTATCTGGGTGCTATTGCAGGAAGCGTTAAAAAAGAAAGAAAATGCCACATTTGATTTTAATGAGCAAATTCCAGAGGGGGGAGGAGAAATGATACAACATTTAATCCCCTCTGGACCACTGACCCACTACAGTTCAACTCTCTGGTCAAACTCAGTCGGAGGGACAAGTTCCAGGGCATCAACTGATTCTATGCACTACCCTTCCTAAATCTAAACAAACCTTCTGCTTTTGGGGGGCAGGGGCAAGGGAAATAGAGGAAAGTGATTTGGACATGCCGCTTTTGTCACTACAGAATCCTCATTCACTTCATCTTGTACATTAAATCACTGTTGTTTCATTTTTTTAAATGTTTTAAGGGTCACTATATAATGTTGTTGATTATCATTCAGAGTAGGGATTTAAGTCCCTCTGTTAGAGGTTAATTCCTTTCCCTTGCACTGCTTAGAAACCCATACCTCTAGTTACCTTTCTGCTAAAATTAACCAGAGGAAGCAGGGCTGTTGAATGTGTGTATGTATTTTTTCAAGAGAATTTTAACATTGTGTTACAGCAGAAACAGTGAAGTCTGGACTGGACATTTGTAAGGGTGACATGTGGTTGTGTAAACCACAAACAAAATCAAGATACATCTGTCAAAACCACATCAGAGACAAGGGAGAGCACAAAGAAGCATTTATCATTTAGCTGAGGAGGCAGGCTGCAGGGAGCAGCCGTTCCTGTCAAACCAACCTTTTGAAATTTCCAACATGCCCTTAAACTTTTCGAGTAAGCATGTCTGTGCGCTTCAGCAACTGCCCTCTCTACTCTGGCCTGGCCAGTCGAAAATGGCATCTTAAAGTCAAGGTCACGGTGTCATCCCACCACGGGGCTGTGTTTAATTACAGCCCCATACGGGCTGACAGCCAATATGGATCCAAGGCTAGCCCCGAAGCTCAGTTAACTCTTTCCAGTCCCTCCAAAATGCCCCTCCAGCCCACCCAACGTCACGGAAGCCTCGAGAACAAACTGCACCCCTAGGGAGGCCTGATCAGGTATTCTGACCCAAACATGTCACTGGCCGAACTACAAATGCCCATACAGCCCCTCTGCCTCTGACTTATCACCAGGGCTGGAAATGGGCTTTGGAAACTGGGCTAGGTGTAGTAAGGCTCGACAATTCAAAATGAGAAGGGGAGAGAAAAGGAAAGAAATTCAGAATCAGTAGATGCAAAGAGAGGATATCAGGTGTGTGTAACCTATCCTGCCTACATCTGACTCAAGTGAAGTGGAAAATATTTATTTTTGTGTGTTCTGGACATAAGCCATAGGAATGATTACTTTAACGTTACAGGGCTGTCATGGACAGTCACATGGAGAAACACAGAAAGCACTTCACCACTCCTTAGTGCGTGGCTACAGTGCCTCTGAAAATGAAAAGAAAACATGCAAACAGCTTTTCTCCTTGCTTCTCATTTACCTGCTATGTGTTCCTGTTTGGGGCAAATTCCTCTAGATGACGTTGATAAACAATCGTCATCCTCTGGCGTGACCTGGATGCCAACCTCCACGGGATTGGATGCTTTTTTCATCTCGATTGGTGAAGGGGAAGGTGGCTTATCCACAGCTTTTTCTAAGCAGAGGCTGCCATTGCATTGTTTCCGTTTGTGCTCGATAAAAATGAGAATGTCCCCCAACGGGAAGTTCATCTGGCACTGCCCACACGTGAGGAGGTCGTGGTCCCCTTCTGGGGCTCCCAAAGGTCCGTGGTCCGGTTCATCATCTGTAAGAATGGCTTCAAGAGGCTCGGCTGTGGTTGAAGAAACAAAAGCACAATTATTAGAGGGCCAGAAAGGAGAGGAAAGGGGGAAATACATTCTCAACCCCATCCCACCCCAGCACATTATGTAAAAGGTTTCTAGGCTCCTCCATTTAATTCTCAGAAAAACATGTGAGCACCTGAAACATACACGGGTGTGGAAACTGACAACAAGAAAGCAAATTTATCATAGAGGCAAACCATCATATAAAGAAAACTGCCTGACTGGAATACTTCCATGGAAAACTACACATACATATATACATAACACACACACATACACACACACACACACACACCCAAGTGTCCAGTTTGTGAGTTTAGAAAGAATGTGACTGTTATTTAAATAAATAGTTAGCACAGAAACATAACGTAAGCTTCAATAATAACCACCCCCAAAGAACTGGCAAAAACATGGATTGAAACCAAATTTCTTTCTTTTTTCCTGCACAGTAAGTTGTCTATTGTGCCCAAGAATAAAAGGAGAGGTGAATAAACACACACACACACCCTCTTTGTGTGTGAACATATACACTCAAAATATACAGAGACATGGCTTCCTAAATTAGAAAGCTACTACATCACACAGAAAACGTGCCATATTTACACTGCTGTAATACGAAAAAGACTGTATTCACCTGTGAAACGAATCTAAATAATCATAACGCAGTATAACCCACACTGCCAAAAACCTTTCTGATCTCACTCTCAGCAGTGCCACAAAATCAAACAAATACCAAATTCACTGGCAATTCTTCTCAGACACATTAGCTAAATGGGATACTTTTGAGTACTTAAGAAAATAAGCCAATTAGTCATTTTTTCATTCTGAAGAAAGGAATGCCTAAAATATTCTAAATATGTTTGCACTTGGTGGCCCCCTTCACACAAAAATCAGAATGGTCAAGCAAATGCCACATTTCAGATCAAGGCTGAGAAGTCCCTTCTTAAGACTTGAAATTCTTTGCCTAATGTTGTCAAAGTTGACTAATTTTCTGAATGAGCTCCAAAATGCTTCATTATGGGACTATTTCTGCACACATGATCACCAGCGGACGGTACAACAAGGTAGATATGTCTTTCATTCCTGTTTCTTTAAATAAAAAACAAAACAACAACTTTGCACCAAAATACTCAAGCATGTATTTGAACAGCTTCTATCATTTTTTAAACTTCCAAAGGGGAAATGAGAGTAAGTCACTGCTCCTGAAACCTTACGCTTACTCCATCACCAAAAAAAAAAAAAAATTTACAAAACACAAAATACATCCAGGATGCTGCCAGTTAATAAAACTGAAGCAGCAAATGTACAAGTCTTAAACAGTTAATCAGTCTGACCTTCTTTAGCAAGCTGCCAATTTCACATTTAATGAACTTAAAGCCACAGAGAATCAAAAAATAGATTTTAATTTGAGTGTAGAATATTGGAACAGATTTTGATAAAGTGCAAAAATCCAGTGAACTCAGGTTAAATTTATTTCAACCCTACCCAGGCTGAATACTGAGGGGGAAGATCTGGAGTAACTCCCAGATGTGCTGGGTGAAATAATATTGAGAGAGCCCTGTCTAGCTGCACCTGTGCTCAACTAGGACATGTCATAATTTCTAGCCTCTGGTACTCCTCCTAATTTAACATAAGGTCACCACAGGAATATGAAGGTTATATTCCTACTAATAAAGACAGAAAAGTAAGCACTTACATTTCTTTGCCCAACATACTGACCGAAAGATAGATACACATGCATACTTTCCAAATAAAAGCAGACAAACAGAAGTGCTTTTGCATTATGCGTCTATGTCATCTTTCCCCTGCTTGCTTTCATTGTGACAAGGGAGGAACTGAATAAAGAAGTTATTCACCAAGATTCCTCCTATTTGAATTAAGGATTTTAAGTACACATTAACAAAAGTGGCTTTTTTGGTTGTTGTTCAGCATTAACTACGAGTTCAGAGGTTTACAGATTGAAGAAAGACTGAGGAGGAATACCTCATTTTATAAAAGTTAGTAGTACATAGAACCTTGGCCCAAAAAAAAAAAAATTTTTAACTCCATCGTTAGGATTTGTTCTTTATCCCCAAGCCCTGACACATTTCTGAAAATGGAAATATTATTTGGGAGCAAGAGAAGATATTCTCCTAGGTATCAAACAGTTAAAGGTAACGCGGTACAAAACAGACTTGGTTAAAGTCTTCTAAATGTAGTGACTGAACTGATTTACAATCAAAACCAGGAAATGAAGTGGTAATTCAGAGGTTGCTGATTACACCTCCACATTTCACCTAATTAATTTTATAGGAGGCAAAGTTCTTGAAAATAACAAGATGATCAAATGTACAGATATAAAACCTATAACCTCAACATTTTCTATGCTCTTAACGTAAATTATTGCTAATTAACAAGAATTATATCCTAATGTATGAAATACCTTTAACATCAGGCTCTCTGCTAAACATTTGGCTGGTGATGTTCAGAGAAATACCAAAATGTGTTCTTATCGTTGCTGCTACATTATTAAAAATCAGACGAAGTGGGGCACAAAGAAAATATGAAAATACAATTCTCTTGGTGTAATCTACTGATTTGCATTGACATCTTTTCTCAGTGGCAATCAACATTTCCTTTCTGGGCTCTGATAATTTCTCTGTATTTTAATGCAAATTCCCCTTTCCCTAAAAACATTCCTAACCTCAGCCATTTTACCCCCTCCCTCAATTCAATTCCATCCTCCTTCACCCCCACAAAACCGGCGTTTCTAAGCTCCGGCCTAAGCGCTGGCTACAAAGCAGGGAGTCCAGGATTGAAGTGGAAGGGAGTGGGCAAATAATCATAATAATTAGCCGCGAATTCTCTACAAGGGGAAAAAGAAATACAAAATAAAATGCTTCTGCGTTCAAACAGCAAGACTGACTGAAACGTCTCAATGCCCCAGCCGCTGAACTGGGATCTCTTTCCTCTCTCAGCAGTTGCAAAGGAATGAATTTTTAAAAAAAAAAAAAGCCTTATAAGAAATGTAGGGAAGGAGCAAGGGAAACAAGGGCTGCTGGGGAGGGGGAGGGGGAAAGGAGCTCTGTCTTCAAGTTTGCTTTCCAAGTCCTTCCCTTTGATTGTCTTAACAGGGTAAGGGAGCACACCGAGACTGAAATGCGGAGAGAAAAAGCAAAAAACCAAAAGCGAAGGCAGGGGCGACAGGCCCGGGGCAGGGGACCCGGCGGGGGGGTGGGGGGGGCTGCGCCGAAAGTGAAGTTGGGCGCCGGGACTCAGGCACAAAGCGAGTAGCGTGCGGTCCGCAGGCTCCGGCCGCGCTCGCTGCGAACACGTGCAGCGGCGGCCGCTGGGCCCGGAGCCGGAGTCGGGGGCTGGGGGCTGGGGGCGGGAGGCGGCGGGCAGCCCCGGGCCCCGACTGCTGCCTCCACGCCCGTCCTGCCCGGCCGCGGGGTGACGACGGTTCCCCAGGCCCACCAGGTGGAGACACGGGAAGTGAGGCTTGGAAAACTCGGCAGGTTAACCTGGCGCTGTCTGGGGATCACCGCACACACACCTCAGGCGCGGGTCCTGAAACTCATTCTGTGTCCACAGGCTTACACTTTTTACTTTGAGGAATCTCTGCAAATGCGTTTCTCCCGCAATCCCCGGCACCGGTGTGCACAGCGCGGCGGCGGCTGCGGTTATTCATTATTAATGACGCCGTTTGCCCGCATCATTATGATGATAACTATTACTATTGTTGTGATTTCGGGCTCGGAGGCGAGAGCTGCAGAGGGGTCGGGCTGCAGAGGCGCCCGGCAAGCCTGCCGCGGCTGCCTCGGTCCGCGCTTTGCACGGGGATGAGGGGCCGGGAGAAGTGAACCTGGAGACTAAGTGCAAACTTGCCGGATCCCGCCTTCGGCCTTGCCCCAAAGCCGGAGAGCGCGCACTCCCCTTTCCTCCCAACCAAAAACGCCTGCCCAAAAAAAACGAAAACTGCACCCCGCTCCACTCCCGGTGCACTGGGGAGTCGGCCGCGCGCCCGGGCGCTTCTCCGCAGCCCTGGCCAGAAGCATTTTTAAAGTCAAAACGAAGAACAAAGACAGAAGGGGTGATGGGGTGGGGGGGAGAGAAAGGGAATTCTGCCTAACCGTCCGTTTCCCCCACCCCCACCCTCGCAAAGCTCTTCCCTCCGGGTCGAGAAATGCAGAGGGGGGTGGGGGAGGCCCTGGTACAGGTTCAAGTTCGCTGAGCTTTCTTGATCTTGTTCTGCCTCCTAGCGACCGAACGGCTCATTCAGCCCTAGAAGCGGGGGATGGGGGCAGGGGGGAGGGAAAGGGGTCCTGAAGACGAGAATGGCTCCCGCCCCCTCTGCGCACCCAGAAAATTAGAAAGGAGCGACCACCGCACCCACTTTAAATTGGCCCCTTAACCCAAAACCCATCCTGAGACTCGGGGATTCCAAGGGGCTAACCCACCCAGCCTGGAGTCTCGGGATGGGCCCCGAGAGAGTGGGGGACGGGGGAGCAGCCTGGACTGCACGCCACAGTCCGTCCTTTGAGCCCCCAGTGCATCCTTCCGAAGAAGGGCCCGGCTTTCCCGAGTGCTGCGAACACTGCCCTTCCTTCCCGCCGGTACCTGGCCGGGCTGTAACTTCACACCGCCGCGCGCCGCGTCTGCTCCGCATCCGGCGCGGCCGGGGGAGTGGGGGCGGGGGAGAGCGGTGAGGGAGGGATGCGCGGGGGTGGGGAAAGGGAGGGCCCCGCAACGTGCCCGGGCGGGGGAGCTTTCGAAGTGTGTGACAAGTTCCAGGGCCCAGTGAAAAATTCAATTCCCTACGAGCACCCCACACACACACCTTTAAAAAATACAGAACTGGATATGGGGTGGTCCTTTAAAATCGCAGCAAAAATTAAAATAAGGGTCATGTATGAGATGGGGGAGGGAAGTGGGCTCTCTCACGCCTTTCTTTCCCTTGCAGCCAAACTTTCCTAAGCGCCCACCGCCTGCCTTTCCAGGCGCATTCTGTTAGCCTGGAGACAGCCACCCACTTAACCACCCCACCTCCCTTATACAGACTCAGAAGGGCCCCCAGACCGAGCCAGGCCCGAGGTAGAGAGCAGGAATTCGAGGGAGGGATGCGTGGAGTCCCGGAGTCGAATACTCCCCAAAAGCAACTACTCCCCTACCGCCTACCACCCACCCCTCTCCCCCCACCCCCCACCCCTACCCCCAACCTTGCTTGGCCGAGCTCGGGAGCTGGGGGCTATAGGCTTGTCCCTGTGGGAGGGGGGCAGGGAAGGCACGTGGTGATCTCCCCGCTGCCCCGAGCTGGGGGCAAGAGACGTCGCGGGTAGGGGACGGACAGGACTCGCTTTTAGGGTTGCTTTGCAAAATAAAAATGCTTTGCAAAGACGAGTTTCTCCCCAGCCGATTTCGCAGTGGGGTTGGCCAAGAGGAGGTCTGAGCATTGTACTAGGGGGCCAGAGAGGACCCTGGACCCTCTGGCGCTGAGTCGCAGCACCGCCTGCCGCTGGGCCAGCGGGCGGGCGGCGGGACCGCAGCCGCCGCCCGCTCCCGGCCTGCCGCGCCGCGCTCGGTCCTCTGTCTGTTTGTTGGCAGGAGGCTCCCGCACACGCGGTGCTTGTAAACATTCAGACACGAGATTTTTCCCAATCAAAATCCACTTCCACTTTTTTTGAAAATCTTCCAAAAAATAGTAAGAGGAGGGAGTTCCTCGCTCCCTCTCTGTGCCGCCGGCGCTCTAAGTTTGCAACTAAAGAGGTTTTGGTGAAGGGGTAATTGTATTTTTCCCCCTCTATTAGAGATTGTGAGATTTTTGTAGGGGGGGGGCGGTGGTGGCGGAGGGGGAGTCAAAGAGGAGAGCGTTGCTGAAAACGGCTGGCGGAGCGTTTGCCGTCTGTCTGGGGGCAAAAAGAAAACGTTGCCTTGTTTTATTTTATGTATTTTATTTTATTTTTCACCTATTTTCGCCGCCGGTGAGGTTCGGCCGGGAGGGGCGGGCAGAGGCAACCCGGGCGGCAGCAGCCACAGCGCCCTCCCTCCCTCTTCGACTGGCCCCCGGCCCTCGCTCCTGCCCTTCGGCGGCGGCGGCGGCGCGGGAGGGCAAGCGCGAGGAGCCGGCACAAAAGGCAGCGGGGCAAACACCCACCTCGGGCCGGAACAAAAGGCTGCAGCGCCGGCGGCGGCTCCGGTCCTTCCCGGTCGCCCAAGCTCTCCCGGCCGCCGCGGCCCCTCTCCAGACTCGGCGGACTCAAGAGCGCCCGGGGCCCCCTCCCACAATCCCACTTTCTCACTATTGTGGAGATGACTACTTTCCTCCCAGTGCACACTTGACCGTGAGCGCGCTGGTGTCCAAGGGCCAGTCTCACCTCTTTTCTCCCCGGGAATTATTTTTTTTTTTAACTTGGGCTCCCCACCCCCCGTTTTTCTTCCTACGGTAAGTGGAAGTAACCCCCTTTTCCCCTCCAGTTCCCTCCCTTAGGTTTGCAGGAGAGTTGTTAGCATCCACAGCATTGTTCATTATTTTGCAAAACTGGAGGCGAAATCATTGCATTCCTTTCCGAAAAGCGAAATAAAGCAGAGGAAAGCAGGAAAGAGGAGGAGTCAAATTTTTGTAAAAATTAAATAAAATTAAAAGATTCGTGCAATCCCAAAAGTGTACATACGGCTACGATTCGGGATGGGATGAGGTTGGTCCCCCCCCCCCACCTTTAATCTCTTTTATCCCGACTCTCGGAGGTTTTTCTCGTGGAAAAAAAAATTTTTTAATGCATGCACACACCCCTCTCTCCCCCTTTCTCTTGCTTCTCGTCCTGCGCGCTCTCGTGATTATTAATAATTATTATTACTATTATTGGGTTACTTACGCGAGAATTCCCGTTTGCTTAAGTGCTGGGGTTTGCCTTGCTTGCGGCGAGACATGGTGGGCTGCGGGGCGGGCGGGAGGCGGCGGCGGCGGCGGCGGCGGGCGGACGACGGCTCGGTTCACATCGGGAGAGCCGGGTTAGAAAGAAGGAGACTCCAGAGAAAATATCTTCATCAGTGCCTTTTGACATCCAAAATAAATTAGAAATAATACAAAGATGGCGCAGGGAAGATGAATTGTGGGAGAGCCGTCATGGCTTTTTTTTTTTTTTTAACCAAAAAAAAAAAAAGAGAGAGAGAGGAGAGATAGAGGGGGAGAGAGAGAGAGAGAGATGAAAAAAATGGCAAAAGCCCCCCTGAGCTGCAAGTTCAAGTGCGGACGTGACGTCCCTGCGAACTTGAACGTCAGGAGTCTGGATGGACAGAGACACACAAAACATGGGCAGGGCGAGCAGGAGAGAAGGGGAGGAGGGAAGGGGAAGCTCACACCAATGGACACACATCAGGGGCTGGACATGAAAAAGAGACCAGGACAAGCCAATGGCCAGTGCGGGGCGGGGGAGGTGCCGGGCTGGGGGCTCCGCAGACGCCAGACGCGGCCCCCGTGGGAGGGGCGGGCGGAGGGGAGGGGGCGCTGGGGCCTCGGGCTCACCAGTGGCCGCAGCGAGTGCCGAGGCAGCGGCTTGGCGGGGAGAGAGGGAAGGGGCGGCGGGGGAGGGGGAGAGCCAGACGTGCGCCCTGCTCCCCCCAACCCCGGCACGCGGACCCTAAAATGAAAGATTATTTTAAATTTAAAAAAAAAAAAAGAGTGTCTGGAGGCTGCAGGGGCCGGGGAAGCGCGGGCGGAGGGAAGCCAGGTAGAGTTGCTCCCGGACACCCTCCTGCGTGCGCACACCCACTTCCCTTCGCCGCCGCCGCGGAGCTCGCTCCTCGTGTGCGGACGCCGGGGGCCGAAAGCCCAGAGCCCGCGGCTGCGCTCGGGAAACTTTGCTCGAGGAGAGGATAGCCAAGAAAAATCACCCGAAGTTGGGAGCTGAGCCTCCAAGTTACAGCGACGCCGCGGGCGAGGGGAGGCGGGAAGGAGCGCCCGGCCAAGCAGAGTCCAGCTCAAGTTTGGAGGCTTGCGGGTCCGGAAAGGCAGCGCGGGGGCCTCCGGGAGCCCGGGCGGTCAGGAGAGAGAGAGAGGGCAAGGGCGAGAGAGGAGATGCAGGCCCCGGGCCGGCTGGCGGGGAGGGCGCCCCCCAGGCCGAGCTGGGGGCCCGGGGATCTGAACGCACAGACAAACGATCGGGTCTGAATGCCACTGGGAGCAAGGAGTCAGGCTCTCAACGGTCGCGGAGGAAGAAAGAACAGGGAGCGGGACTCGGGGCACGTTCCGGCCCCGGGAGTGGAGTGCCCGGACCCAGGGCGAGGGAGGCGCAGAGGCGTCCACCTCACGGGGCCGCCGCCGGCCAGAGGACAAAGCCCGGGGAGTGCCAGTCCCTGGGAACGGGCTCCCGGCGCCGCGGGAGGTCCCTAAGCTGGGTCCCAGGGAAAGACACACCCCCTCCCACTCCAGAGCTACTGCTAAAGCACCGAGGAACGGCAAGAAAATGTTTCTTACGGGCAGAGCACAACTAGTCCAGTGCTGTTACCCAGGGAAAGAAAATGGGGAATGAAGAAAGAGCGACTGGCTCCCGGGAGCAGCGGGGAGGCCACAGTGGTGGGGTGACCGACCCGGGTCAGCGCTACGCTCCCTGGGCGCCCCGGGCGGAGCCGCACCCGCCGGAGCCCGCAGCCCAGGTCTGGCCTTTCTGCAGACGTTCCCGGGAAATTAGGGAAGACCTGTTGGAAATAAACCCCTGTCTCTTTAATGCACACACACGCGCGCGCGCGCGCGCTGCTGCTGTCAAAAAGCGGGCTTCACTCTGGCGTGGGATACTTTCAGTTTTACGTAAAATGTACAGCAACAGCACCCCCTGCGATTGGAAAGTTTATTCAGAAACGTGCCTGCAAAGTCCCCCGGCGCCTCCAGCCTCCCAGTCTCCCCGCCTGCCTGCGCCACCCTGTAGCCTCAGCCGACGCTGCCGCCGAGAGACCGCGCTGCGATTCCAAATCCGGAAGGGCAGGGGGGAGAAGAAAATGGACTCAGGTCCAAGGGAGGCGCGGAGGGTGCAGGGGGGGTAGGGGTGGCCGCGGCCCGCGAGACTGCGAGCTGCAGGTGGACGTGTACAAGTGTGGGTCTGCAAAGCGAGGAGCCTTCTTTCCCTCTCCTCCAAGCGGCTCCACAAGCCCTCGTGTCTTCTCTTCCCCCTCCTCAGTCTGAGGGACGTCGCTTTCGTAAATGCACCTCCTGGGCGGGGTGCTTTATTGTCTTAAGCGAGGGCCCCCGGCTCTCAGGCGCGCACCCATCTCCCAGCCGCGCCGGCCAGCGGCTGTTTATTCCTGTGTTGTCTTAGTAAAGTTTCAAACCCATTAGAAAATAACTGGTTTGCCTTGCTCGGCGAAGCTTCGGGCCCCTCTGAGGAAGAAAAGGAGGTTTTGATGCTCAACAGTGGGAGAAATGTGGGCTGGACTGAGTTTGTGTAAATGTGGTTTGCTGTTATTGTTTCCCTCCAGTTTGGTGGGGGTTGAGGGGGGGGACTCAAATCCTGTTTAAGAAGCAGGAAGATTCACTTGCAGTAAAGCTCTGTAGCGTGTGCGTTATACCATTTCCCCCTTTTCACGAGTTCTTCAGAGCAGGTCAGCATCTCTTTTCCAGTACTTTTTTTTTTTTCTTTAATCTTGTTCAACTAGCCTTAGAGCGACCAAAAGAATATCATTGCAGGGGAGGGGTGGGGGGAGCCGGACGTGGAGGAGAATGTTTGGAGGGAAGGTGAGGAGAGGGAAGAAAAAAGTACAACTGGGAGGCCTTGAAAAAATAAAAAAAAAAAAATAAAAGCCCCTTCAGGTAACAATAGTGAGTCCGATTCTTTCCGGAACCGAGCTTTTCAAATTTAAATATTTTTCCCATCCATCCATAAAAGTCCATATATAGAGAAGGTATATAAATGAGCGAATGTGTGTTGTGGAAATATATATGTATGATTTATATATAATGGTGTGTATAAAGCTTTTCAGGGTTGGCTGTAGTGTAAAAAGTAATGACTTTATTACCTCTGAAAGGTTCTGTGGTTCACATTTAACAGTCTTCTGAATTACAATTCATTACACAATTGTATGCTCTCTAAAACCGGCACCCTATCAGGGCCGCTATCTGTGGTTATTTCCAATAAATAACTGGCAACATTTTATTGATTTTCTTTTTTAAAAAATCATAGGAAATTAAGCACTTAGTTACAAGTAGGTCTGCTATGTTATTGCACTTGTTTCAGATTCCAGGGGGTTCCTTCCGAAACCACATCTTAAAACATACCTTTAAAACCCAGTTTTGCAGCTGCCTTCCCTGGGTGCCCGTGGAGAGGTAAGTAGCGACGTTTCCACCATTAACGTATATTTAATTTCACCATCATAAAATGTCCAGAGTGAAATAGGAACTACCCTCCACTCCCGCCCCTCCCCCAGCCTGATTTCACCCAGTCCAGAAAACCAGGGCTCAGTGTTGGCATTCGATTCCCTCCTGGTCGCGGACCCCCACTCCGGTCCCTCCTGCTTGCCTCTGCGAGTGACGCCCCCTCCCTCCTTGCTGCTGGATGCTCGCTAAAGCGCCCGAAAGTGGGGGAGGGGGAAGGTGTGTCAGTGTGTTTAAAGAAATAAAAACGTGTTGTTTTAAGAGCTTTGAAAATATTACGTAAGTATTGATTAATGATGCAGGTGGGTTTGTAGAGGGGTGAAAGGTCACTTTAAACGCTCACACTTGGATACACAGTCAGTATATTTACTTTCCAAAAGTAGCTTTTAGAAAGTAATAAATTATGACAACGTTAAAATTATTTTCTGGCGTTTCAGTTAACTTCATGTGGAGCTGTAGAACCTTTGCTGATTCCACGGAAGAGCTAATTACGCTCGGTGGGCTCTTTCCCAAACCTTCGGTGACAACACTGCATGTAAACTCCAGGCCAACAGGCGACCCCTCCCCTCTCCTCCTCCCCCTCTCTATCTTGCCCGCGGAGGAGACTCCCCAGGACTTCCTGCAGTATATATTCTGCCTCTGATCTCCGTACTTAATAGCCAAGTCCTGGTTTATGCTTTATAATGTGTTGACAAGTTTTCTAACAGACTTTCTGAAATAATGCACATATATTCACGTCGGTTAGAAACCCACCGTATTTTTAGAGTCGAGTAGATCTATACCCTAATGCAGTGAGAGAGTGTAAATCATAGAGGATTTCATAGTCCTTTCAGTAGTTTTCGGTATGAAGTATGAGCCGCGTGGCCTCCAGACGTAACCTTTTAGAAAAAAAGACAGTGCTTTTATTTTATGGTGTAAAGTGCTTTTAGCTCCAGGGCTCTGAACGTGAATGTGGTCAACAAACAGCTCCAAGAGGGAGGTTTAAAACGGTCCCAGCCCTGGTGCGGAGGATCGCCTGGTGTGGGGGACTCAGGTTGAGCTGGAGAACTAAGGGTTAAAAGGTCTGTCTCGATAGAAACTACAAGATTAAAATAAAATAGTCACTGTCTGCCTTTAGCAGGGAACACCTTTACAGACTTAAAGATAAATGAATGAATGGTTAATATAATCGCTCCCACCTTGCATTTTACTTCTGGTTTGTTTTTGTTTTTGTTTTCTTCCTAATGGAAGTTCGGAAAATATAGAATGGACAGTCATCTCAATAAAAAATAAAACTTAGGTTTGGATTCATCACTTGGCATAGGTTTTGGGGTTCCAAGAGTGGGAGTGTTAGGGTGTTAAGACAAAGGTAAAATTAATGTTAAAAAAGAAAAGAGGTTGTGCTTGAGGAAGGGGGTGGGCTTTGTGTGGGCGCCACAAACTGAAAGGTGAGCATTAGAGCCACAGTCACCTCTTCTCCAAGCCTCCCTCAGTCCCCACCCACTGTAACATTTCTTCCTTCTCTGTTCCCAGTATGATTCAGAGTCTGGGACCTAAGGAGGCCCCCGGAGGGCAGAGTCTACACCTGCAAAGGGATAGACTTCCCCTGGGAGGCTCTTGGGGAAACAGTATGGCATTTCTCCAGAGGCTCCCTGGACATTTAGCTGAGATGGTAGAGATGGTAGGGGTTGGAGATGAGGGTGAGGGTTGTTTTCCCTAGTTAACTCCTCCATCAGGGGGCGGTAAAAATGGGATGAAAGCATTTAGCTGACTGACAGACTACTTCACATACCTGGATGGCTCTGTCCGCCCCCACCCTGCACCCCCCCGCCCCTCCTGGGACCACCCCAGGAAAAGAAAGAAGGAAGGAAAGAAGGAAGGGAGCAAAGTAGGAAGTAAAAAGCTGGATCTGCTCTAAATAAACATACACTTACCTCTAGACTGGGTTGCTGTGTGCCAAGTCAACAATGTGTTGGGGCTGGTGGTAAGTCTCACCACGTTAAGTAAGAGGCTCTTATGAAGACAGCAAGGTGTTCTGGCTGGAACACTGGAATAC